TCTGCAAACGAATCGTCCCTGTGGCCTATCGTTCGAGATGTACATATTTAGTAGATAATAAGGCTTTAAATCACAACAAGGAAAGTATTCGACGAGGGAAATAAAGGGATGTATCCCTGCTATGCTTTTAGAAGGAGAAACTTCCCAAACGCATCAATTTAACGATGAACACAAAGAAACTGTAGAACTTACAATTAGTGAAAAATGATCATCACTTATACATACACACTTATACGAGTATGAATATACATTAGGGTGGCCCAAAAATACATTCGGGGGAACACGTTTAAAATGTTAATGGTAAAAATATCCGTATTTTTTGTTAAAAAAAAAGGATATTTAAAACTGCCCCAAAGCCCATTAAGGTTTCCATGTATTTTATATGGGCAAAAACACTTTCGTAGAAATGGTATGGAATTTTTTAAAATCAATAGGGCTGTTCAGGACCTTGTGCATATGCTCTTGCATTTGAATATTCGATGCATTTGTAAATTTGCAACAATAAAATACAAAAACGGTTGCCATGGTAGCAAGCACAAAATTTGCAAATGCAAATGCAAAATTAAGACTATTTGCACAAGATCCTGAACAGCCCTAATATTTTTCGATCAGAAAACTGTTTCTCTTTGGGAGAGTTCCAATTATTAATTTGACAATTTTTTAATATTAACTATTTTTAATTGGTCCCCACCAAAAAACATGTTTTTGCAAAAATTTAAATTTTAATAAAACGTTTGTACTAAAAAATTTTTGCTTAAGGCGACAAACCCATAAAAATGGGCGCGGCAGGTTTCGGGCTGAAATTAACAAAATAACGATTTTATTGTCGCAGTTATTCCGCAACTTTATTTTAGAATCGGAAAATATACTTGAAATTTGCGTGGCAATTTTGTGACCAAAGTTAAAAAAATTAGATTTTATTGTGTATTTTGGCATAGTATCTATTCACAACACGTTTGTTCCGCATTTTGAAGTATATTAAACTTTTAAAATGAAAAAATCGTTAAATTTCAAAAATTACAAAATAGCAGCGACAGATATTCTGCACGCTGCCATTTTTTTTAATTTGGTGCCACACTCTTGAAACTTTACAAATATGCTGTATTTGATGCCAACTTTTATTGCCTCTAAGATGAACATTCTGTTTGAAAACTTCCCAAATATATAAAAAAAAGGATTTTTTGAGTGACAATGAAAAGTAAGTAATTTCGGTACTCTTTCGTCTGAATAAATGTTTTAAGGCTAAAATTGTTCGAATACTTGATTTATTTTTTATTCTACTTGTTTTTGGAACTCCATTGATTTAAACAAATGCAAGAAGAATGCTTCGGGGTTGTTTTATGCCGAGAGAAGGGAGTGACACTAAAAAAACAACTGGTGAGGTTCGCTCATAAATCTTAAAGAGAATCAAGATTTAAGTAGGTTGTCATTAAAAAACAAAAGAGTTCCTATAAATCGTCGCTACCGCGGTAAAGGTAAGTCGATCCTCAAGAAACTTAACTTTCTACAAATGCCTAAAACTTTCTAATAATACAAAAAAATAATTATTATTAGTCACAATAATGCAAACATACACACACAAATACAAAACAAATTTTTGTTTTAGTAAAAAGTTAATACAAAATGCAAGGACGGCGAGCAAATAGCGGATTGGGCGCAAATACACTTTATGGTTTGTATGACTTGCAAGGGAGAATGGGAAGTTTTATTTAATATGTATTACAAACAGACATCATCATCATCATCATCATCATCATGAACAACAACTCAATTAGCTCGAGTGGGTGTGATTGTGTGTATGTGTGATTTTCGATATTAGTGACGGTATCATTAGTTAGTGAACTTTTTGTTACTAGGCAATTGCACAAAAAAACAACAAAACCAAAAACAAAATATCAACTATTTATTTTTTTGTCTTTTNGTATGTGTGATTTTCGATATTAGTGACGGTATCATTAGTTAGTGAACTTTTTGTTACTAGGCAATTGCACAAAAAAACAACAAAACCAAAAACAAAATTTAAGCTTTTGCTTAAAAAATCCTACATAATTTTTTTCGTTGTTTTTTGTAGATTAGTAGTAGAGCAAATGAAACTTACCTGCACAGAACCATGCCGATCGGCTGGTGTTAGATTGCCCAGGGTGGCGCCTGGTTTTGGCACATCCGGCCACGCAGCAACACCTCCTTTGGCATTTGTCTGCATTTTGGGAGCGAAATTGAGCCGAAGAGCACATATGCACGCCAACAAAAATAAAGGCCCAGCGCAACAACAATAACAACAATCACCACCATCATCAACAAGGTGGCAGCAGCAGCCAAAGCGAATGCGATGGGTAGGTAGCAAATCCCCAGGCGACGGTCATAGGTTAAATAGGTCCGGACAATAAATGAAATTAGCCGCAGGTCACACGTAGCACAAGGTTTGAGGTAGGCGCAGAAGTGTTGATTTGATTGGTTGGCATTCATAGAATTGTATATATATATGTAATTTTTTTTTTTTGATGTTGGTTGGTGGCAATTGGCGGCAGGTGGTGGTTGGCAGGCGCCGGCAGTGGTGAAAATTTGGAGATGATGATGATGATTAGTTATTGTAGTAGACATTGACGCGATTCATATTTTTGTTGTTTTTTGTTTTTTTTTTTCGGAAGTGATTAGTTGTTGTTGTTGGTCGGTCGGCAGCACAAAAGGTGTTTCAAAATACGCATTTTTCGATTTTTTTTTGGTATTTTTGGCAAAATCGATTGAAAAAATAAATTTTAATTTTAGTGTCAGGTTTTTCACAAATTTCAAAAAACAATTTGCATTTGCTTTTTTTTTACAAAAGTTATGCAAAATTCAAAGTAAAAATCAGATACATACAAAAAAAAAATCACTTGTGAAACTAGCGAATAAAAAATTTTGCCTACGTACGTACTTTCCGCTTAAAGGAAATAATGCTATTCTCTAACGGTGATTATTTACAAGAAAAGAAAGGAAGTGAAATATGTATGTATATATGTATGATTGCTTGGGGGGAGTAAGTGAGTGAATGATTGCCTACATATATGTATGAATGAAAGTATGTATGTATGTATAGATAAACCCCTACAACCAAATGTGCAATGTGTGACAGAAGCAAGAAAAGGAAATGCAAATAGAATATAAAACGGTAGATGGAAAGGAAATTGAAGTAGAGAGGAAATGTTAGCCGCAAACGAAGAATATTGCGCGAAAGTGAAATGGCTAAAGGAAATAGTGGCAGCAGCTATGTCAGGAAACCTCACACCAGCAGTGCAGGAGTGAGAGGTGTTAACTGGCAGCTAAGGACAGACAGACTGTTGATTGCAGGTGCCATAAATGCGTAAGCACACTCACACACACACACGCTTGGGCGCTCAAGGATAAATTTCTCAGCAGAGGCGGAGGCATTAGGCGGCCGGAGGACGAGGACGAGGAGGGCATGGTCGGTTGTGTGGATGGATTGCCGATTGATGGATGATTTGGATGAACGGAAGGTGGCAGATGAGTTGACGATTGAAATAGCTACGACAACGATGATTAAGGTGCCGTATGCGATTGTGTGTGTGTGTGTGTGTGTGTGTGTGTGTGCATGTAGAATACAACTAACTAAAGTTCGTTTAGCCATTGGCAATGCGAGTAATTGTGCAGCAAAATACTATTTCCGCAGTCCCATCCATGGCTGGGAAGGGTAAAGAGGATGGAGAGAAAAGTATGCTGTTGTTGGACTTATGCGAATTGCAATAACTATGAATTGGTGATAACTCATTTGATGGATGTGTTGCAGTCGTACGCTCCTACCATACATACTTATTTGTAAGCGTCGAAGGTGCAAATGTGTATGTATGTATTTATGATGGCCTTAAAGCCAATAAAATTTGCTCGTCACATTTTGTGTACCCCAAGGTGATTTTTGCAATCTTGCATAACAGCTATTTTAGCTTGCTGCACTCGAGGCAATCAAACGTTGCGGTTAATGGATTGTGGAAATCGATACTGGAGGCGAGCGGTAGTTGAGCAGTATTGAAGGCGTTGCATAAAGTTCAGGTTTTCGGTACACAGCTTAAAATTTAATATGGGTAAATGCTTAAAATTTATGAAAATTGTATTTGAAAATTTTCGAACTTTGAATTACTTAAAAATTTTAAGTGCCCTTTTCATTGCCTATCGAGAATTGAATTAAATTGTTGAAATTTCTAAAGTAAAACATTTACAATAATTTCATATTTCAGATCAGATAAATGTGAAAAAGACAAAAATTAAAAAAAAGAAGAAAATTTATTTTTATCAAAAGACCTGTATTTAATACAAGCATAAAAAAATGAATTTTTAATTTCGAGCAAGAATGTTAAAAAGTTCGTGCATGGCCCTGAAAACCGTTCACTTTACCAAAAATAAAAGAAAATGTCATAAAATTTAAACTGTAATAAAATTTTAAACTTTCGAAAATTTTCCAAAAATACATACAATGTTCTGAAAATTCGAAAATCTTAAAAATCCGCAAACCATCGATAGTTGAAAAAATTTATTATCCATACGAATATAAAATATCTTTCATATTACATATTCAATCATAAAAACTATTTTTCGAAATTTTAGAAACCTTTGGAGGTATAAAAAATTTCAAAACATCGAAAAATTTGGAAAATTCTAATTCCCAGAAACCTGAAGAAATTCGCAAATCATGTTTTATTATCCGCAAAACGATTATTCACAAGGACATCCATTTATTAAGAGTTTTGAGTTTCGCATTTACAATGCCGTCGAACTTTATGCATCAGCCTTTTTGCTTGTATTACGATATAGTGATTTTAAGATTCAAAATGATAATAAATACTTGATTTTCGGATTTCTCAATAGAGGCGAAATACGCATACATTTAGGGCGGCATAGTAAGTAAAAATATGCAATTTTTTCGAAGTATGTAGAACTTCTTTCGGCACGCATTGTCGAGGGCTTTATTTTCAAACGTTTTCCAGAGCCCTAAATTTAACTTCTTTATGCTAGATTTTGTCAAGTTAAATGCTACCTTTACTACAGTTTTAATTGTATATATTGTAAGTTTTTATTTAAAGCCAACCAAGCACCGGTTTTATACCAACAACCTGGGTGGAGAGAATGCATTTTTCTTTTGTTCTCATTGATTTGTTAGTATAATCATTATTATGAAAGAATGTATGTACTAATAAAAATAAAAAAATAGGCAAGACACTAGCAATTATGGTTAAATATACAGTATACAAAATTATATTTTTACTAAAAGCTTTAATTTTTTTTTAAGAAAAAAAAGTAGTCGCGCTAAATGCACTTAAATACTAGCCAAAATACTTGGATTTAATCATTAATAAATAAGCAGCACGCACAAGCATTATATTATAGTCGTACATTTCAGCGCAAAAATTCTAACGAAGTACTATGGGCAGGACGAGCGATTTTTCAACCATTTTTTTTGTTTGTTTCTGGGGTACATAGGCAAATGTTTACAGCTAGCGATATTTTCAATTTGTTATACTTTTTTCTTCTACTAGCCAAGCTACCACAGACACAGCTTTCTAACCTCAAGTATTAAATATTCCTCATCACCAACATCATCATCATCCTCCTCGTAATCAAAATATGAAATATCCTAAAACACCTCAAAGTAAAAGTTCGTTAAGGGGGGAGCGACGAAAAAGAATACATAGTATAGTTTAAGTAGTTTGGTTTTCGAAAGAGAGTAAGAGTGGAAAATAAGAGAGCAAGAGAGAGAGAGCAATTCGATCATCGCCAGTGTACAGTGCGAAAAATATAAGAAAATTTCTTGAACTTATTACTAATTATTATTAAGTATAAATTAAAAGTATATTTTTTGTACCAAAAAAAAAAATAAATATTAAAAATCATTCTAAACTAAATGTAAATATATATATGTAAATGCAAATCTATGTACGATTATGGTCTAAGTGACTTTAATGGGTTTAGTATACGGCATGAAAATGATGATACGATAATGTGGAACTACTTTTTTTTTCGTTTTTTTGGATAATAATATTTTTCACCGACTTTACTGCAGCAAATTATGTGTTAATCAAGTGAAAGATATTTGATTAAATTTGTAAACAATTGCGCTTACCTTAGCCGTTACATTATGACGATCTTTATTTGGTGAAATGATGACTTCATGGCCAGTTTGCAGAGATCCGACGGGCGTTGACTAAATACATATCGATTAATTTGTGACATAGTAGTACATATACACATAGTGGTGAGGACAGACAGATTGTTTTTTTGTTTTTTTTTGCAATTTTGCAGGCAGTAAATAGATTTTGTTTTGCGTTGCGTTTGTTAGATTTTGTAACCAATTTTCATTTGGTACAGGTGCAAGAGATATTCAAAGGTTGCAGTTGCATTTTAGTTGATTGTTGTTGTTGGTTGGTTGGTTGCGGTAGGTTTTGTTGTGGTAAACATAGAGACACAAACACGCAAAACACCAGTTGATTTTTTGTTCATTGATTGTGGATTTCGAATTTTGATTTATTGATGGGTTAGTAGTAGTTGGTGGTTGTTGTTGTTTTGATTGAGGTGGTGGTGTTGGTAGTGATGGTAATTCGATGATTTTGCAGCATAACACATTTTTTTTTTGTTGTATGAGTTTTATGGAATAAAAAATGCAAGAATCAAATATTAGTTTTTTAAAATTTTGAGTTTCCAAAATAAGAAATGTTATAGCATACATATTTTTATCTGTATAATATACAGAGGCATACATACAAACATACTAGTAGATACTACATAACTACATAGGCAGATACTTAGCGCATACGGGATTTTATTATTTAATTTTATTTTTTCTTTGAACTTTTTACAAAAGCAAAAATTCGGTCAGCTTATTTCAATACGGAATCAAGGAATTGAAGCCAGTTCGATACATTATTCAGATCAGTTTCTGGTGTGGCGAATAACGGTGTTCAGTATGGGTTTTAAAGCCAACGAATAATAAATAATGTTTAATTTTTCTCGATAAAAACTTGGTTTTGTAAAAAGTACAAAGAATCGAATGACTTTGCTTAGCTAGCCAGCAAAACTTAGCGATAGATAACATTACTTATGCTAAAAAAGCGATGTAAATTTTGTTGATATATTTATTATTATTAAATAAACTTTTTTCTCAACAAAATTCACGCTTTTAAGTTTTTTTTTTATTCTAAAAAGGATTCACTATCAATTATTCAAACATTTACCGTGTTTAAACTTGTTTAAAAATACACCACATATTTAGAAATTTACCACATTCAAAAAATTCAGTAAATTTCATCGAACTCTTAATGGCGCGGTTTCAAAACAATCCTTAAAAAAAATTCAGTTCTTAAAAAATTCACCACATTTTAAATATTTTTCCAAGCTACTCTGCAGCAAAACCCAGCTTTTCAAATGCAATTTTACCATAGCTTATCACCTAAGCTGGTATACATCAAAATTCTTTTACTGAAAGCATTCAACTTTGATGGGTTGATCTATTTTTGTTAGCCTTCTAAGAAAAAAATTAATTTGAGCAAAATTTTTATGATCATAAGAATACTTTCTAAATATTTACCTGTTTAGATAAAATAATATACCGTGGATACATAAACATGCCAATAACTACTAAAAACATTCGTACATACACAGGTACATAAATAATGCAATACATCAAGTTCTGCATTAACGATTGATTTTTCTTTTATTTCAAGTAGTAGTTTTAGCATATTCCTGCGGTGTTTTGGAACTACATAGTTTTTTATTTTACTTTCAGTATCTGCGTTATTATTTTGTGTTTTTTGTTTTGCAATTTGTGCTTATGCTGGTTGACTGTTTTGTGTGTGTGTGTGCTTTTTGTATTTTTCTTTTTTAGCCATTTCAAATGCATTTAGCGATAAACAAAATATTACAAACAGTTTGTATTAGCCAAATAAACATGACAAAGAAAATCAAAACATTAAAAATACCTTGTCTGATTTATTTTTTGCTAAATGTGAAGGTGGCGCATTTTTTATGACTTTCATTTGTTCGAGTTGTTCCTTGGTCTTTTGTGGTTTATTTTTTTATATCCGATTTGGTAATAAAGTAAAAAAAATATATAAAACATTGTTTTATGCATGCAAACACAAAAGTAGGTAATTTTTTTGCGATTGCATTAAAAAAATAAATGGTAATAAATAAAAAATAATTTTTAATTTTTTATTTATTTTTCCGAACATGATGAATCGAAAACAAACGNTGCATGCAAACACAAAAGTAGGTAATTTTTTTGCGATTGCATTAAAAAAAATAAATGGTAATAAATAAAAAATAATTTTTAATTTTTTATTTATTTTTCCGAACATGATGAATCGAAAACAAACCTGCTAGAAAAGCGAATGACGGATTCAAAAAATTAAGTTCTTATATAAACTTTTCTTCCTCAAAATGTTGCTTGCCTTCAACTTAGCTGATGATTTTATCGTAGGCAAATCTCAGGCAAGATGTTGCGGAAATAACAATCCATGATTGCAATTCACGTCGTTTCGCTAACCTATGTACGTGGGTTCGATCGCCGCCTGCTAAGAGTTAAGACATTCACAGAGTATATACCCCAAAAATTACTCCGTTCCTTACACATTTCCTGAAAATGTTATCATAGCTCAGAACCCACTTAACAACTAGTACTGAGTTTATCGCATCCTCTAAATAAAGAGATTCATTGCCCATAAAATTCGCTACTTTTTTCATGGCTAAGGCTCCCGCCTGAAAAGTACTAAAATAATATGACAGCTTATAAGTTTCGCGCCATTTACCGCAGCACCTACACCATTGTCCATTTTCCATCCGGCTGTGTAAAGACGCATCGAGTCGGCCATCCTTTTATACCTTCGCGCCAGCCTCCGACGACTTCATTAGTCGTCCTGACAGGTTCGAGATCGTTCCCACGACAGTCGGATCTACGTAACCGGAACGATCCAGATTTATATCTGGCCAAAGACTGTCACTCCAGCAACACACTCCAAAAACTCTTTGGGGAATTTTTATGCTGTTACAACAACAACAACATGTTCTAGATCGAATTGGCGTCATTGTGCACAGAAAATAAATGACTAGCGTGCTTTATAGGACACGGTGAGACCCGGTAGGCGTTACAACGCCAATCAAGAAAAAGACGAAACCGCTGCCAGATAACCGGAAACCAGAGCATATGCAACGGATCTCACACAGTGTTATATATATTTCAGTTTGAAAATAAATCCATTTCATATTTCTTAATTTAAAAGAAGAAATTTATATCCAGTGCATAACTGTCCGCAAATAAACACTTTGAATTAGACTTTTTAATACATAGTAAACCAGTGCCAGTTATAAATGTAAATTTTCGGTTATTTTCTTTCCAGCTGCGACTATGGTATTGCATCGTTTAATTTATATTTAATATTCTTGTTTTGTTTTGCAGTTAATTAGTTTCTTTTTAATAATATAATGTTAATAGTTCTATACAAATAGATATTTAAATTGTAGTACGATAGTTATTTTTTGTAATGATTTGTTATATTATGTGCTTTGGAATGAGAGAGTTCGTGTTTTTTCTTTTACTTTTTATGTTTTCAATTTTCGATGGGTAGTTTGAAAATAGAAAGAGGAGGCGTTATTACAGGTATTTGTTGATGTTACATAACATTAATGCAGGCTTGAAAATTTAATTTTGGCTTCTCTGTGCTTCACTTTCGCCATTTTCATTCGATTTGTATTTTATATCCTTGATTTGAGTAAGCCCGCAGCAAATACAATGTAACTCTGTCAGCACATATACACATACAAACAAAACATACATAGTAAATACATGTATACAATATTGTCATCAACGGCAGGAAAGCTGTACTTGGTGATGTTAGTAACAGAAATTTATTTTAACTTGATGCAGTTTCAGAATTTGTTTCGAGTTTGCTGAATTCAGTTCGTTGCTGGATATGCAATTGGAACTGGAAACGGCATAGGTTACTTATTTCTTTGCTTGATGTTACAACGTTTCCGGCAGTGGCGTTTGATGACAGCACAAGGTTTTGAATGCTAGTTTATAGGGTTTTTAGGTTGCTTTTTGAATTACTGGTCTCAAAAAATTGATTTCTTTTAAAATTTATCAACTAACTTTTTTGTGCTTGAGCCCTTTTTTCAGATGAAATTCGCAAAATGAACCAATGAGGAATTTGATTGTTTGATTTGATGATTAATTTGATTAAATAATGAAGAAGAAAATAGGAAAATGTGTTAAATTTAGTGCAATTAGTAAAAGAAAATGCTATTAATAGTAAAAGTTAAAGCAAAAATATATTCAAAATAAGTTAGATTTCAGTTGTCAAAAAAATAACAAAAATAAAAATAAAAAAAATTAACGCAAAAAAAAATATTTTATGTAAAAAAAAATATTAAAAAAAATTATTAAAAAAAAAAATTAATTTAAAAATTAAAATTTCAGAGCTACGTTTTTACATATCAACTGCTAAATAAGTGCAAGCACTTTTTAGACATGCTTAATCAAAGCATAAGAATAGATAGAACAAAAATAACTATGATTTGTATACGCATTTGAATGTAGTATTATGTGGCATTTTGTTTCCCCCGTTTCTGTCTACTAAATTATTTTATATGAGTGTATAAATATACATTTAAATCATTTAAATACCTAAGTTCAATTATCATATATGACCATGCATATGTACATTAGGGTGCCTCATCAAAGTCGCAGTTTTTCGAAGCGAATTATAAAATTTATTATATTTAAAGATCACCGACAGTAATACTACGTAATACGACAGTAATATACGGATTTGAAAAGACCTCCAAAAAACTTTTCTTTTTTTAAGGAATCAAAATAATGAAATTTTTAGAGGTATTTTCAATTCGTACAGCTAACGTAAATTTAAATATTTAGCGGAAATTTTTAAATTACGATGGAAAAACAGTTTCGATTTTTTTTATTCGTATGGAGAGTTATGCATCCTAATGTACTTGCATTCATAAAAATGTATATATGCCCAAATGAATAGGAAAATTATGTGTATGATTACAAGAAAATTATATTCAAAATTGTATGTACCATTGTCTTCCCTGTCCAGTCGAATTCTCCATCATCCACATAGCCCTTACGATCGAATAAGTCTTGAAACAGTCTTCGCAGAAACTCATAATCGGGCGTTTCAAAAAAATCTAATCGCCGCACATAACGCAAATAAGTTGCGAATTCTTCGGGGTGTCCATCGCAAAGCACCTGCAACAGGTATAGTTTTTAATTAATATTTTTTTTTTGTTTCAAGCAGAGATACATATACATAAATGCAATTTGATTACTTTACCTCAATGGGTGTTGCACGTTTTGTATCACCAATTTTTTGATATCTTTCTTTAAGTGTATCAGCCTTAAGGCCTTGCCACGGCAGTGAACCTCTTAAGAAATACATGAACATATGTCCTAATGCTTCTAAATCATCGCGTCTTGATTGCTCTCTGCCCATGTGTGTATTTATTGACATATAGCGTGCGGTGCCGGTGAGAGATTTATGCTCCCGATATGGTATATGCCTATTTGTATCTAAATCAATGTATTCTTTGGCCAAACCGAAATCTGTTGGAATAGAGAGAGAAAAAAAACGAGTTAGAAAAAGTAATAAATATCTATTTAATGTAATAATGCTCTCGTTAGGTTAGGCTAGAATATCGTCGAAAAATGTAACGCCTTCTGACGTGGGTGCCAACCAGCAAGAACCTCAACGTCAATTGAGATCAATTTGTAGCCCTCCCTGGCTAACTCATCAGCAGCCTTATTTCGGTGAATGTTGGGATGATTAGGAACTCAAAGTAATTTTACTGAGAAGAGCTCTGCACTTCTTAATCAGCTTCGACTTTGATGTAAGGGGCCGCAGAGCCATAAAGCAACGATCTTCAGCGATAGCGACTACTTCTACCTGAAAAAACTTTCGTTCAACGTTCCAGTCAGCTTTTAAGTGAGAAGGAGCCCGAATGGCCAGTGGAGTTTTATTCAAGGTAGTGTTTAATCGATGTCCTGCTCCTATACCCAATCCTTTTATCTTTCCATAAACCAATTTCTCTGATTCTTACAGCAGACACTGAACTAAATTATGTGAAATTCTATAAGTTTGCAGTAATATCACTGAGGACATACATATGTAGGGTAAAATCTCATTTCCTTGAAGTTTTAAAAAAAAAATTTTAAATTATGGTTCTTTATTTTTTTTTTGTTTTGAGTATGCAATTTTGTAGCACATTAAAATTTAGTATGGTAAAGTGCAAGTTTCAAGTTGCTAAAAATCTCTTTGGTTTTTGGCAATTTTGTTCTGTGTGTTGAACATTTTTTGTATGAAAAAATTTGGTAAAAATATTTTCTTTTTGAATATTTTTTTAATTCATAAAATTTCTTATTTGTCGATCCTAAAAAATCGACCTTAAACTTTCTTCGACGCTTCTTTAGATTAAACACATTTTTTTTTGTTTTTCTCTCTTTTTAATTTTGTATAGTAAATAGGTAAATAGGTACTCACCAATTATGTGTATAATTTTTTCTCGCCTCGTCGATGTTCTGCCTATGAGGAAGTTCTCTGGTTTCACATCCCTATAGATTAAGTGCCGACTATGAACATATTCGATCCGGTGGAGCTGATTGGAGGTGCGTTGAAGTTGAGACAAAGTTGTATTTAATGAAAACAAAAAAGCGTATTAGTGACTTAAGAAAATAAATTTCAAATTAAGTATGTATTTACTAATATAAGACATGCTTGATTTGTTTAACAAAATAATTTAAATAAATTAAATGTACGCTATGTATGCTATAATTTGTTTCGTATCGCATGAAATTAAGAAAGATGCAAAAAGTGAGTGAAAAAGAAATGACTTTAAATTTGAGAGAGAAAAAAGAGTAATCAAGTAAGCTAAATGAAAGTGAAATTAAATAAAATGCTAACAATTTTTTTTCGGAGTGTCTCAACTAGCGCATATGAAATGCTCATAAAAATATCGAGTGAATTAGAAAAATTTAATAATAAAAAAAAAATTATAAATGGATATAAAGTGAAAATGCGTTAAAAAAATTAAAAATCATAACTCGAATTTCCACTAAAAAAAAAAAATACGCACATCTACAAAAGTAATGGCTTCGTAGAAATGAATGAAAGAAAAGAAAAAAACAGCATCAACAGAAAAATGAAACACGCAACTTAACAGCCAAGTTTTTTTATTTTGTTTGTACTTCTAATTCGAATACGTTTCAAACATACATAATTTGTTTAAATACTAAGTTAGCATGCAAACAAAAAAAAAAATCTACTAACTCCGCTATACTCTAAAAAAAAAAACAAAAAAAACTGAACCAACTACATTCAGTTCAATCAAAGTATCTTTTAAGCTTATTTTCAATTTTGATTTTCGATCATCTACTCTACATTTTAAGGTTCGTCTACTATAAAGCCTGCTTGAATTTTAGTTGTGTAAATTTAAAAATATTAGCGCTTGCTCTAATTTAATAAATTTATTCGCTCGATCACTCCGTTGATTTCACTTAGCGTGGACAACAACCCATTAGCAAAGCAACAAACCAATTGCAAGATCGCATGCATATCCACTCGCGCACCTTTCGCACACTCACACACACCACTTTGCACTCGCCCAGACACGCCAGCAAGCCCACAGCCGTTTATTAGCGAGGACATCTCCAACTTTAAGGGGGTACTGCGCCTAAAAGTGTGCTTCTTATAGGCGCTAAACTTTATTTTCGAACTATTTTGTATGACTTTTCATTTTGTTTCTTTGTTAGTAGCAATTGCGCAAACTTAGGGTGTAATAATAAGCCAAAAATCATATGGTAATTGAATGTATCATTAAAAAAAAATAAAATAATGCGCTAAGGTTAAAAGGTGAATTAAAATTTAGGTGAATTAGGTGTCCTTAGATACATATTAAGTGGTGCTGGTGAGNCTTAGGGTGTAATAATAAGCCAAAAATCATATGGTAATTGAATGTATCATAAAAAAAAATATATAATGCGCTAAGATTAAAAGGTGAAGAAAATTTTAGGTGAATTAGGTGTCCTTAGATACATATTAAGTGGTGCTGGTGAGGGTAGTAGTGGATAATATTAGGCTTTTGGACTTGAAACAAAAAAAAAAAAACATTGATTAATAAAATTTTATTAGCGTGGAAAAACCATTAGCAACCGCTTGGTTAATTACGAATTATTTTTCAAATACATAAAAGCGCAGTGGTAATGCTTAGTCGATTATTTGTATTTCTTTCTTTTGCCTTAGTTTAGTTTGTATTAGCATTCTAAATGGGGTGTTTGTTATGCTTTTTTTGTTTTGTTTTTGTTTTCNGTATTTCTTTCTTTTGCCTTAGTTTAGTTTGTATTAGCATTCTAAATGGGATGTTTGTTATGCTTTTTTTGTTTTGTTTTTGTTTTTGTTTATTTTTCATTTGTATTTTAAATTTTTTTGTTTTCGTTTTTTTTTTTTTAGTAAATTGTTGTGTGTACTTACTAATTGTATAGCTATCAGTAGTACTGTCTTCAAAGTGAATCGTCTGCCGCATATATCAAATAAATCTTCAAGTGATGGACCGAGCAATTCCATAACAAGTGCATTGTACTTGCCGCATGGACCGAAGTAATATACTTCGGGTACACCCTCTGCTATAATTATAACAACAATTGAAGAATAGCAAACTTTAACTTTCTTATTGAATAAAAAAAGATTACAACAAATTAAAAAGGTATTACTGTTTTAGGATTTTGCAACAAAAAAAAAATATAGATTTACATAGGTGGATATCGTTGATGGGAAGATGTCACAAAAATCGCAAAAAAGGACGTAGGAGTGAAAGTTATTGCCGCAAAAAAAATATATATAAAAAACAGAGTGACTAATATTTTTGCTCTCATAATGCATTGACAAATTTTTGAAGATTTATTTAACAGCTTTTTGTCTGATTCGGCTGTGCTGGCTGTTAAGTATTTGTTGTTGGATTAGTTAAATTAATAACATTTGCAGTTTTATGGTAATACTGCGTTGGGAAGACTTCGGTCGAGGCGATAAAACTATTCACAGAAGTAGAATGACAAATATATTTACAGCAAAAGTTTGTAGGGATAGGTTATGGGTGGAGCATTAGAAATGTTAGTACAATAGCATTTTGTATACCTGACAAATAAAACGAATATTAATACACGAAGCAGCAAGCAAATAATTCGGTTCAGGTTTTCAGGAAATATTTTTTAAGAAAGTGATTTTTTTTTTTAATTTTTTAATATTTAATATTTTTTCTTTTTCTACTTTTTGATTTTAGAGTATCATTTTCTTTTAATTTTTATATTCTACTCTGCCTTTTTTGCAAATTCTTGTTATCAAATGAATTTTCATTATTTTTAAATATTTTTTATTTTCTTTGTTTCAATTTCTTTATTTTTTGCATTTTTTTTGTTTTGTTATTTATTTTGCGCGCTTCCACTCCACAATGCCTGGGTTCAAACCCTGGTCAAAGCAACATCGCAAAAATATAGAAAAAAGGTTTTTTCTTAACAGCGGTCGTCCCTCGGCAGGCAATGGCAAACCTCCGAGTGTATTTCTGCCATGAAAAACAGCTTCTCATAAAAATACAATCGCCGTTCGGAGTCGGCGTAAAACTGTAGGTCCCTCCGCTTTGTGTGACAACATCAAGGCGCACGCCACAAATCGGAGGAGAAGCTCGGCCAAACACTAACATATGTGTAAGCGCCAATCTATTATTATTATTATTATTTATTTTATTCTATTATTATTTTATTAGTTTTGTAATTTTTTAAATTATTATTTTTTATCATCTTTAGCATGTCCTTTTAAATATTTGCGTATTTTGTAGTATATTATTTTTTATCATCTTTATCATTTAGTTTTTAGTTTTTTATTAAGTTTTTTAGTATCTATATAAGTTTTAATTCATTTTTTTATCTTTTTATTATTTTATCATTTTTGTTATTTTAAATTTTTTTGCTACCTTTTATTATTTTATTTTAACATTATCATTTTATCGCTATTTTATTATTTTTTTCATAGAGTATTTTTTTATTTTCTCAAGTAGCTTTTAAATGTATCTGCCTTTCAAACGCTTTTTTTTAACAAAATTTGTGTTCAAAGATACACTTCAAAATCTACATGAGAAATCGCTCCTTAATTTTCATTAATTAATTCTTTTAAAATAAAAAGGAATAAACTTGAATATTACTATGTATTTACTTTAAAATTTTCGATGAATTTTTTTAGTAATTTTTTTTTTATTTTTGTTATTATTTGTTTATTTACGTTATTGTTGTATATTTCCAATTTTTATAGCCTTTTCTTTAATTTGTATTGTTTTTTTGTTACATATTGTGTAAACATAAAACATATATTTTCTATTATTCATTTTGTATGATTGAATTTTTTGTACTTATTATATATTTTTTAATTAATTTTTTTTACATATTTTATTTTATTATCTATTTTGTTTGAAAGCGGTTGTCTTGCCTCTTGATTTGTTTATACTTTTTAAAATTCTTTTCTAAATTTTCTAAATTAAATTTCAAATTTGTTTATTTATTCGTTTTTTATCCTTTTATTTTTCTTAATTTTTTTTAATTCATTTATTTATTTAATCTTATGCGTTTCTATTTGCTGATTTGTTGAAATTGAATTCTTTACTAATATGCCTTATAATTTATTTTCACCGCCTACATTTAAAACTAAAAAAAAATCTAATAAAATTTTTCTGAATGCACTACGAAGTAGTAAGTAGCAAGCACTTCTCTGCACGCACACAAAAAATAGATGTTCTCGAAGCATTTTTCGAAAAAGTCTGCTTCCGTAAATTCACGCATTTACTTATAATTAGAGATATGTTTTAAAAATAAATATGTATCTACAATAATGGTAACGTAAATCGGTATAACTCCAACTCACAGCAAATTATACAGTAACTACTAAAAGTATGTACTACTAAGTAATAATAAATAGAATAGTTTGCTGCTTTAAAGCGTCGCCTAAAATACTTATGTAACTTTTTGATCTTTATAACATACATAGGTATAAAAAACAACTGAGCAGTTCTTTAGCGAGTAATTCAAATAAGTGGGGGATTTTAAGCAAGAAATAATGTAAATATGTACATTCATATTTTATATATGTTCATAATCATATAAAATTTTAAAAAAGCTTTGCGCCGGAACTTTCCTCCAACTTGTAGAGTCTATTTTGAGAAAAATTTTCTTTCATTCTTAGAAGCTCATATCCAAAACGTTGGAAAACTAAGATTTTCAAATTAACAGCGGCGGTGTGTCACACGAGTACACTCGGTGTTAAAAGCCTGCTTGGCTTTTGCAACTTGTACCCAACATGCAGAATGCAAATATAGATCAAATACACTGTTGCCATTTTTCTATTCAACAACAAGTCTCTTTAACTGGATAATTTGAATATAAATTTAATTAATAAATTAAGTTTTCAAATTGCTTATCTCAAATCTGAGCAAAAAATTATAGATACTCAATATTACAATTGCATCTTTACTTCATTAACCAATGCCCTGTTGCCAAATTTCAGGCACGTTATCGATAGTCCAGTTTCGAGCAAAGTAGTGTACATACGTTGTTGTCAAAT